TTTTTTTTTTTATTACTGTAGCTCTATAATAGAGCTTGATATCAGGGGTAATGTTGCCTCCAGAAGTTCCTTTATTGTACAAGATTGTTTTGGCTATCCAGGGTTTTTTGTTTTTCCATATGAAGTTGAGTATTTTTTCCCTGACGTCTGTAAAGAATTGTATTTGAATTTTGATGGGGATTGCATTGACTCTGTAGATTTCTTTTGGTAGGATTACCATTTTTATTATGTTGATACTATCTATCCTAGAGAATAGGAGATTTTTCTATTTTCTGATATCTTCCTCAGTTTCTTTCTTCAAACACTTAAAGTTCTTGTTGTATAGGTCTTTCACTTCTTTGGTTAGTGTTACCCCAAGATAGTGTATGTTATTTGTAGCTATTGTGAATGGTGATGTACCTTTATCATTTGTGTATAGGAAGGCTACTGATATTTTTGAGTTGATCTTGTATGCAGGGACATTACTGAAGGTGTTTATCAGCTGTAGGAGTTCCTTCATTGAATTTTTGGGGTCACTAATGTGTACTATCATATCATCTGCAAATAGTGAAAGTTTGACTTCTTCCTTTTCAATTTGTATCCCCTTGATCTCCTTTTGTTGTCTTATTGCTCTAGCTAGAACATTGAGTACTGTGCTGAATAGATATGGACAGAGTGGACAGGCATGTCTTTTTCCTGATTTTAGTGGAATCGCTTTGATTTTCTCTCCATTTAATCTGATGTTGGCTGTTGGCTTGCTGTATATTGCTTTTATTATGTTTAGGTATGTTCCTTGTATCCTTGATCTCTCCAAGATCTTTGTCATGAAGGAATGTTGTATTTTGCATTTTTTCAGCATCTAATGAGATAATTTTATGTTTTTTTTCTTTCAGTTTGTTTATGTGGTGGATTACATTGTTAGATTTTTGTATGTTGAACCATCCCTGTATCTCTGGGATGAAGCCTACTTGATCATAGTAGATTTTGTGTGTGTGTGTGTGTTCTTGGATTCTGTTTACCAGTATTTTTGCATCAATGTTCATGAAGGAGATTGGTCTGTAATTCTGTTTCTTGGTTGAGCCTTTGTATGGTTTTGGTATTATCAGGGTAACTGTAGCCTTGTAAAAAGAGTTTGGCAATGTTCCTTTTGTTGCTATTGTGTGGAACAATTTGAGGAGTACAAGTATTAGCTCTTCTTTGAAGTTCTGATAGAATTCTGTGTTGAAACCATCAGGCCCTGGACGTTTTTTGGTTGGGAGACTTTTGATTACAGCTTCTATTTCCTTACAGGTTATAGGTCTATTTAAATTGTTCATCTGGTCTTCATTTAATTTGGTCTGTGGTACCTATCCAGAAAATTATCCGTTTCTTTTAAATTTTTCAATTTTGTGGAGTACAAGTTTTTCAAAGTATGACCTGATGATTCCCTGGATTTCCTCAGTGTCTGTTTTTATGTCCCCCTTTTCATTTCTGATTTTGTTAATTCGGATAGTCTCTCTTTGTCTTTTGGTTAGTTAGGATAAGGGATTTTCTATCTTGTTTATTTTCTCAAAGAACCAGCTCTTTGTTTCATTGATTCTTTGTATTATTTACTTTGTTTCTATTTTATTGATTTCAGCCATCAATTTGATTATTTCCTGACATTTCCTCCTCCTGGGTGAGTTTGGTTCTTTTTGTTCTAGAGCTTTCAGGTGTGCTATGAAGTTGCTAGTGTGAGATTTCTCCACTTTCTTTATGTAGGCACTTAGTGCTATGAACATTTCTCTTAGAACCGCTTTCATAGTATTCCATAGGTTTGGGTATGATGTGCATTCATTTTTGTTGAATTCTAGGAAGCCTTTAACTTCTTTGACACAAGGGTGATTCAGTTGAGTACTTTTCAATGTTTTTGAGTTTGTAGGCTTCCCCTCAATTAGTGTTGTTGATTTCTAACTTTACACCATGGTGATCTGATAAGATACATGGGGTTATTCCAACTTTTTTTTTTTGTATCTGTTGAGGTTTGCTTTGTTACCGAGTATGTGTACAATTTTAGAGAAGGTTCCATGAGGCACTGAGAAGAAGGTATATTCTTTTGTGTTTGGGTGAAATGCTCTATAGATGTCTGTTAAGTTCATTTGAGTCATGACATCTGTTAGTTCTCTTATTTCTCTGTTAAGTTTCTGTCTAGTTGACCTGTCTTTTGGGGAGAGTGGGGTGTTGAAGTCTCCCACTATTAGTGTGTGGGACTTGATTGTGATTTGAGATTTAGTAGTGTTTCTTTTACATATGTGGGTTCTCTTGTATTTGGGGCATAGATGTTTAGGATTGAGATTTCATCTTGATGGATTTTTCCTGTTATGAGTATAAAGTGCCCTTCTCCATTTCTTCTGATTGATTTTAATTTGAAGTCTATTTTGTTAACTATTAAGATAACTACACCCATTTGTTTCTTAGGTCCATTTTATTGGAAAATCTTTTCCCAACTCTTTACTCTGAGGTAATGTCTGTCTTTGAGGTTGAGGTATTCTTATATGCAGCAGAAGAATGGATCCTGCTTTTTTATCCATTCTCTTAGCCTGTGTCTTTTTATAAGTGAATTGAGTCCATTGATATTAAGAAATATTAATGACCAATGATTGTTAGTTCCTTTTATTTTTCGGTGTTAGTGTTTGTGTGTTTCCCTTCTTTGAGATTTGCTGGTGTGAGATTATCTGTTGCTGTGTTTTTGTGTATGGAGCTAGCTTCTTTGGGTTGGAATTTTCCTTCTAGTACTTTCTGTAATGCTGGGTTTGTGGATACATATTGTTTAAATTTGGTTTTTTCATGGAATATCTTGTTTTCTCCATCGATGGTGATTGAAAACTTTGCTGAGTATAGTAGTCTGGGTATGCATCTGTGGACTCTTAGTGTCTGCAGCACATCTCTCCAGGACCTTCTGGCTTTCATAGTTTCCATTGAAAAGTCAGGTGTAATTCTGATAGGTCTACCATCATAAGTCACTTGACCTTTCTCCCTTGCAGATCTTAATATTCTTTTTTAATGTCTGTATGTTTAGTGTATGAGGCAAGGAGACTTTTTTTTTTTGGTCCAGTCTATTTGGTGTTCTGTAAGCTTCTTGTACCTTCATAGGAATATCCTTCTTTAGGTTGGGAAAGTTTTCTTCTATGATTTTGTTGAATATATTTCTGTGCCTTTGAGTTGACTTCTTCTCCTTCTTCTATCCCTATTATTCTTAGATTTGGTCTTTTCATGGTATCCTAGATTTTCTGGATGTTTTGTGTTAAGAATTTGTTGGATTTAACATTTTATTTGACCAACGAATCTATTTTCTCTATCGAATCTTTAATGCCTGAGATTCTCTTTTCCGTATCTTGCATTCTGTTGGTTATGCTTGCAGCTGTAGTTCCTGTTCATTTACCCAGATTTTCCATTTCCAGAATTCCTTTGGTTTGTGTTTTCTTTATTGCCTTTATTTCAGTTTTCAAATCTTGAACTGTTTGAACTGTTTGCATCACCCGTTTGATTGGGTTTTTTTCTTAGTTTTCTTGGGTTTCTTTAAGAGATTTATTGATTTCTTCCAGTTTTTTATTTGTCTTTTCCTCCATTTCTTTAAGGGAATTTTTCATCTCTTTCTTAAGTGTCTCTATCATCTTCATAAAGTTATATTTAAGATCATTTTCTTCTGCTTCTTCTGGGCTAGGATGATCAGATCTTCTTGTTGTATGACCACTGGGTTCTGGTTTTACTATTTTGCATTTTAGATTATTAAATGAATTCTTGATTGGTGCCTACCCATGTCTTCCCATTGGTGCAGGCAGTGTCTCCAGGAATGGGCAGGTGTGGAGGTGGAGTGAAACTTGTAACTCACAAGGTCCAATCAATGTGGGTGGGGTGTTGAAGCAGCCTGCCTGCAGGTGACTTGCCTGCTAGCCAGCAGTGAAATTGAAGCAGGTGGGGGAGAGACCCAGTGTTTCACCCTGGTACCAAGGACCTAGAGACTGGGCTGTCCAGCTGGAGAACTGGTCACTCACATCTTGGTCCACTCTGTGCAGTCGCAGTCTGTGCATCAGAGTTCCTCTGAGGTAGCAGGGATGGTTGTTAATGTCTTCTATGGTCTCTTTTCCATTTAATTATGTTTGTTTATAGTTTGTATTATAATTTCCTTCCCTCACAAACATTAGATTTATTTTGTTGTTTTTATAGTTTGTGAAGGTGAAAAGTTATAAATTCTGGCATATATTTAAAGCTTTCACATTCCATTTAAACTCGGCTTTAGATATATATCACACTTTTATTTTTGAGAATTTTATGCATGAGTACAGTGTACTCTGCATTTGTATTGTATCTATTCCTCCCTCTTCACCCTCCAGCTTCTTCTGTGTGCCCCCTTGAATTCATGACCCCTTTTTCTTGATACATGTTAACACTGATAAACATCTAAAACATAAAAGAGAATAAGAAAAAAAATCTCAGACATAAAAATAAATGCACAATCTATTGTCTGAAATTTCTAGAAAACAAAACTTTCTGGAAATTACTTAGGAGTTCCTTGGGGTTGGGGATGTGGACTGGTTATAAGGGGGCGTGAGAGAACCTTTGGAAGTGATGTAAATGTTCTGCACTTGGGTGTATGTGTGTGGAATATTCCAGACCAACTTGGGTCACATAGCAAGACTCTGTTTAAATCAAAATAAAATAAGAATTGAGTTTTTCTCACAGTGTGCTCCCAATTGTACAGCTAGGAACTGTACAACAACAGCAAAACATGACACACACATCCCAACTAGTCTTTACTGATAAAGAGAGAAGCATATTTTTTTACCAAGTTTTATTGGGTTTTTTTGGCATAGAAAGAATATTTGATTTTCACAGTCTCTTTTTCTTGATTCAAGGCCAATGACTATACTAAAGTACCTCCACTGTCTTTAGTCTAAAGAGTTGATGGTCCAGCCTCAGGCACTCAAGAACTCAGTCCGAACTGATCTGTAGGACCAAGCAAGTCTATGCTTAATAAGTGGTCGTTCCTAGAAGAAGCCTGATGTGCACAGAACCAGAAATTAACCCACTTCCCTCACAATCCCTGAGTGAGGCAATTCCGACCCACCAGGTTCCACACGGCAACCTTCACATCCTTGTTCCTCAGGCTGTAGATGATGGGGTTCAGCATGGGGGTCAACACTCCATAAAATAAGGAGATGAGTTTGTCTGAAACATCCTGCTTGTCTGCCCCCAGGGGGTCCTTGGACTTGGGCTTCCCGTACATGAAGAGGATGGTCCCATAGAAGACGATGACCACAGTGAGGTGGGCAGAGCAGGTGGAGAAGGCCTTCCTCCTCCCCTCGGCGGAGGGGATCCTCAGGATGGTGGTGAGTATGAAGATGTAGGAGACAAAGATGAACAGAACTGGGACCCCCAGGAAGATCACGTTGGCCACGCCCATGCTGATCACATTGACTGAAATGTCAGCACAGGCCAACTTCAGGACAGCCAGGATCTCACAGGTGAAGTGATTAATGACATTGTCCCCACAGAAAGGCAACTGTACTGCAAGGGAGATCTGCACCAAGGAGTTGGCACCACCGGCCACCCAGGAGCTGATGGCCATGGGCACATAGGCAGCCTTGCTCATGACCACAGGGTACCTCAGGGGGTTGCAGATGGCCACATAGCGATCAAACGCCATCATGCCCAGGAGCACACACTCTGTGGCTCCCATGGCAAAGGAGAGGAACATCTGCACCGCACAGCCTGAGAAGGAGATTGTTTTTCTGGGAGTGAGGAAGCCATTCAGGACCAGGGGGATGGAGGAGGTGGTGTAGCAGATGTCCAGGAAGGAGAGGTTCCCCAGGAAGAAGTACATGGGCGTGTGCAGATGGGCGTCGAGGACGGTCACCAGGATGAGGACCCCGTTGCCCAGCAGGATCACCAGGTACATCAGCAGGATGAGCACAAAGAATGTTTTCTCCAGCGTTGGGTGATCTGACAGCCCCAGCAGGATGAATTCAGCTACCATGGACTGGTTGGCCACTTCCATTTCCCGTGCTCTCTCCCTCTCATGAAAACGGAAGTCAGCAAGCACATACCGGGACCAGCATATGGGCATGCTTCTAGAAGGTATAATTAGATTTACCCTTTAGATGCCAGCTTGTAAAATCAGTGTTGAAGGGATAAAACTCACTATCAGGCTACCAGAGAGGTCCAGATGCATTGGTTCAAGCAGGAAAAGGCTTCTGATAGACTAATCAACCATGATACATGGAAAGTCAGGATATAGCCAGCCAGCAGAGCTGGCATGCCTGAAGGAAGGGATGTGCTCTTTATGCATGCAGGGCTACATGAAAACCACAAAGAGGAAATCTTTAAAATGCTACATGGTTCTAGAAGAGGGGAGGGACACAGACTCCTCTGGCTACCCCTGCTTGTTCCAGAACCATTCCGCCAACTCTCATAGGCTGCTGTCACTCTTGGTAATGCTAGCTGTTGGCATCATCTCTGCCCTCTAGTTTCATTCTGTACTCTCACAATAATATTATGGTAATAATTTAGCCCCATAGAGCGATGACATGGTGGGCAGAGGCCAGGCTGTGAGAGTCTAGCCAGAATTAATTTCTATTTGTTGCACCGTGCCTGGCTTGATCTCAGTTTCTTGTGACCTTGATGGATGTTGTCACTGGGTGGCGCTATCGAGATAGAGTCTGTGTGCCGCCAGGCATGGTGGCCCTTACAGAAGCACAGCCATATCCTCTCTCCCATCGCTCAACAGTAGGCCTCGTTGTTCCACACCCCTGAGGGACAAGTGTCTTGTGCCTTCTGTGTCCCCTTGGTGACTGGACTGTGCTTTGGAGCAGTGGTCTAAGTTGCGGCTCCTAACTCAGCCCCTTCTGTACTTGATTGTTAAAGCCACTGCAGTGCCATCATAATGCATTCTGCAAAGCAAGTGGGACAATTCTGCTCAGGCTGACAGAGGTCGGGCTCACGGAGAGAGCCAGGGGCCACAGGGACAGAACTGCAGACCTGTATGCTAGAGCAGACCCCAAGCCTTGATTTCTCAGGTTAAGAATGAGGACACTGGGACCAGAGAACTGGTTCAGGGGGCAAAGGCACTAGTTGCCAAGCCTGACAGCCCCAGTTCAGTTCTCAGGACCCATAAGATGGAAAGAGAGAATTAACTCCTTCGAGTTGTTCTCTGACCTCTGCGTGAGCACGGTACATATGTGTGTGCATGTTACATACAAATAAATAAAGATAAAACGTGTTTTAAAACAATGAGGAAACTGAAGCTCTGAGAGGATCCCAGGGCTGGGACAGGACCAGGGGTTCCCCACTCTCCCCTAGACTCTATCTCATCACACATGTTCATGTCTACCATTTGTGCCAGACCGTGTCTGCTGAGGACAAAAGGCCCAATTATAAAAGCTTTAGCCATTCTCGCTCTCTCTAGGACATTCCCAGACAATAGATGTATCATTCCCTCCTCTAAGACAGTGGTTCTCAACCTGTGGGTCGAGACCCCTTTGTGGGGGTTAATGGCTGCCTCACAGGGGTTCATAGCAGAAATTTTGCATATCAAATATTTACATTATAGCTCATAACAGTATCAAAATCACACTTATGAAGTAGCAAGAAAAACAATTTTATTGTCACTACAACATGAGGAACTGTATTAAAGGGAAGGCTGAGAACCGCTGTTCTAAGAAACCTGCCTTGTAGCCGGGCTTGAGTGAAGTGAGTGGGACCTTTGCTCCACTTCTGTATCATTGACTGATGCCCGGGAAGATGGGTGAGAGAAACCAGATCCAGGCTAAAGTTATCCTCATGCAGTTATCAGAGGAGCTGAGCTGTAGGCACCGGGAGTGTTTGAGAAAAGAGATCTGCTTTGAGAGATGTTAGCACTGTGCAAAGGAGATCACGTTAGCACTGTGCAAAAGAGACGTTAGTAGTGTGCAAAAGAGACCACTGTGCAAAAGAGATGTTAGCCCTGTGCAAAGGAGATGTTAGCCCTGTGCAAAGGAGATGTTAGCCCTGTGCAAAGGAGTTGTTAGCAGTGTGCAAAGGAGGTGTTAGCAGTGTGCAAAGGAGATGTTAGCACTGTGCAAAGGAGATGTTAGCACTGTGCAAAGGAGATGTTAGCCCTGTGCAAAGGAGGTGTAAGCAGTGTGCAAAGGAGGTGTTAGCAGTGTGCAAAGGAGGTGTTAGCAGTGTGCAAAGGAGATGTAAGCCACGGCCGGGACAGCTCGATGCAGAGGAGAGCTAAGCTGTGCCAGGGACTCCATGACGTAACTTCTCTTTCTCAACCACATGAGTCTTCCAGGAGAAAAAGTCCCAATTGTTTTTGAGCACCTGCTATGTCGCTCACGTCCCTCATTCTTTCATCAGGCAGCCTTGATAATTAGCAAGTTTGCCTTACATTAAGCAGAAGCTTTCTTCTTCTATGGTTGCCCCTCCACATATGTCCGCTCACTCTGCCCTATCTCCACCACCAGCTGGGACTCCCTCTATAAGGAACCTGAGAGATGTGGAAGGCAGAACCCAGGTCTAACCTTGGATTCCATCTGTCCTTGGGTTCCCATTTCGGCTCTTCCTCTCACCCACCTGAAGAAGGTCTGGCCACAGAGAGAACCCTGGCTGTGTCCACTGGGCAAGCAATTCCATGGTGGGGATGGGCGATCACCCGGCAGAAGGGCTCCTGATGAGGCAGAGGCTGGAAGCTCGCTGGGCTAGGAAAAGGATGGTTTCAACTACTTCTATTGTTCTTGCCTGACCCAGCCTTTTCTGTTGGCCTGGAACACACAGCAAGTCTGTTTCACTGCCTCATGAGATAGTTTTCTGTAAGAGGGCACAGCCAAAGGAAGGAAATAAACACTTGGTGATAGCCGGAGGGGCCCGTGTTGCTCCTTACTCTAGCCGCCCTTCCCCACTCCCAGGGGGAAAAAAGGAAGACAGAAGACAACTGGAGGGGCCACTGCCAGCTACTGTTGAAACTGTGCCCGGCCTGTGTGTTCTGTGCTTTCTGCCCTCTCTGCCCTAACCTGGCTCTCCAGAGGGCTTATCAAGGATCCTGGAAAAGTTCAGAGTTCTAGCTGTTTGGGAGCCAGCGTCGATCCCAGAGGCAATTTAAGGTTTGCTGAAAGGGCTCACAGGAATTGCGGGCCTGTGTTCCATAAATCCAATTAGACACTAGCAGACAGGTCTATGTGAATCCAAACTCTCACTAAAGAGGTGCTCCTTAGATGAGGAAGATCCTGCACGGTGTCCTATGCTTGCTACCCTTCCTGGGAATAGAGAAAGAACAAAATCCTAACTGTGCTTTGACTACAAGAGGATGATGGGTCCCCATAGCTGAGACAGGCCCCTGGTCATCCGGTGATCCCGAGCAGCTCTCTAAGATAACATTAGAGACTAAGTACTGAGGGTTGCTTTCTTCCAATGTCCCCACTGCTTGGGGCAGGCCCTGGGGTGGCTACTAAGGATTCGGGGGTGAAAAAGAGGCCCTTCCCACAGTCAAGGAATGTGTGAGTAAGGCCACAGGAAGGGCTTGAATTTACAGATGGATACTGCCACCAACGGTTGTCACCACCTCTGGAGAACTGTAGAAGGACTTCTAATAGCCCCCCTTCCCATTAAACTAACTTTACCCATCTCCTTCACAACGTGGGCCACCCTCCATGTCAGGTTGCCGGCTCTACAGTGCATGCATCTCTCCTAGCTGCAAGCAGCACAAAGAGGCCCGCTCAAGCCAATTGATGACCCTGAAGTTAGTCCAGCTTCATTGAAACTGTGCAAACTGGAGCTGGGGAGATGGTTTAATCTATAGTGTTCTTGTCTTGCTAGCAGTGGGACCTGCGTTCGATCCTCAGAACCCATGTAGAAAAGCCTGACACGGTTATTCATGCTTGAAATCTCAGCACTGAGGAGGCGCAGATAGGCAGATCTATGGGGCCCAACCAGCCTAGCTCACTTGGCATACTCCACGTGAATGAAAGAGCCCATCCCAAAGTTAAGTGGACAGCATTCCTTAGAAGTGACACCAGAGGTGGTCCTCCAGCCTCCAGGTGCACATGCACCCCCATACACTTGTCCATCCCCTCAAAACAAGCTTGCACAAACACACAGACACACACAATTTAAATAGGTAAGTCAATTACACAGCTTGGACATAAAAGGGAAGAAAGGGTCTCGTTCATAAAAAATAAAGTTGAGTGGTTTGAATGGACCCATTAAAGGCAAATTAGTGAAACGAAATGCTGTCCTCAAATGTTAGGAAGATATGCCAGATGCCTGTCTAAAATTAGATGAGGTTTTCACTCTGATCTTTTTGTAAAAGTCTTTACATTCTTACTTAAAAAAAAAAAATAAGGGGCCGAAGAGGTGGCTTGGTGGTTAAGATCACTGGCTGCTCTTGAAGATCCTGGAACAGTTCCCAGGACCTACCTAGCTGCTTACAGTTCTAAGGACTCAGATGCCATCTTTTGCCTCTGTGGACGTTGGGCACTACATGACACAGACACACATGCAGACAATACACCTGGAGACATTAATCAAAAGCATTAAAAAGAAAATTAACCCTAGATCCAGGGGATCCACCCCCTCTTTTGGCCTCTGAGGGCACCTAGATGCACATGGGACATATATGTACACATAAATAAAAAGAAAATTTTTAAAAATTTAAGTAAAATTGGCTCCCTTAATGTAGATATCTTCTTCCCTGTTCCTATATCCGCCCTTCCTCCATCTCCACCCTCCCACTCCCCCAAGCTTTCCCCAGTCTTCCCTTCTTGCTTCTCTCTCCCCTACTCCCCTTCCCTCACCCCCACCTCCACCCCTTCCCCCACCCCCATGCTCCCAAGACCTGGATGTAGGGGGGAGGGCCTTGGACTTCCCACAGGGCAGGGTTCCCTGCCCTCTCTTAAGGAGGGAGGGGGAGAGAGGGAGATGAGTGAGGGAGGAGCGGGAGGGGAATGGGAGGAGGGGAGGAAGTGTAAATTTTTGAATGGAAAAATAAAAAAAAATTAAGTAAAATTTAAAACTGTAGATAGTATGCTATGGGAATGACTTATTTAAGAGTCAACAATTACTGTGCTCATTGGCAAGTAAGGCTCTTT